GGGTTAGAAGAGCTATATGATTGGCAGTGGTTTTGTAATTTTCAAATCGTTAAGAAATAGACGGGAGATTAGTTCTATACACCATGAATAACAGCAGGACAGCTTGGTAAAAAAAAAAAATCACAGTAGTCACTTTAAGGATCAACCGTGTCCAAAGGCTTGGTATTATGAAGGGAGAGTTTCTAGAGGATCCTTTCCTTTGACCTTGAGGACTCCATTTACTCTAAACATCTATTATAAAATCAGGCGTTGCTGATTCTTTCTTCCAAAGGGTACAAGCTGCGCCAATGCCCCTGGGTTGAAGAGTAGCTTAAATAAGCCTTTTGGTTTATGTCGCACAGAAGAAGGCTTTGCAAGATCTAATCTTTTCTAAACCTGCTATGTTCTTTGGTTCAGCAGAGCTTCCTAATTGTAGCTATTAGCTCCCGTTTTTGTGGTCTGTTCTGTCAATAAACTATTGAGCGTTCAGTAAATTAAGCCCAACCAGCAGCCAACACATCGAGACAGACGTTAAATCATGGCTTGGCCGCCCCTGTTCATTACTCGGATCTGTGAAATAGCTTTTGAGCACAGGGCTGGGATTTACCACGATGCACATTTGTGTCATTCCCCAATTTCCATATTGTCCAATCAGTACCCGGGGTTTTTTTCTATGCAACAGGTGTGTTCTTGGAACAAAGCTCAGCCCCCACTTCTGGCTTATGTGAGAGCAGCAGCTGCAAGCTTAACGCCAATGACACATGGTCGTATAAGGGAGAAAAAAAGAAACTTCTTGTTCAAACGTTAAAGTCACAGGCAGATGGGCCACAGCTGCCTGCACAATCCTTTGTGCTACAGAACCAGTCAGTCTAAACGTACGGATGACAGTGTTTTCCACTCTGCTTTCTTCTCCTTCTCTCTCTTCCTGACATTCTTCTTCTTCTTCTTCTTTTTTTAATGCATCAGTGGGAAACACAAATTTCTTTAAGCATTACATAGTCATATTGACAATATTCCTTCATGTGAGTCATGCTGTTTCTAGGCCACTGGGTGGAGTGAAGAAAAAAAAATTAATACAAACCAAGCTGCACTTTATGTGTAATTCACTTTGTTTGAAAAAAGGATTTACAGGGAATGTTTACTATGCAACTTGAAGAGACTTACTTGGTATGCAAATCCTACATTTTTTGACATGCAAAGTTAAATATGTTTATTTAAAGGCCTCATCATTCCCTAGGAGAGCTTCTCTCTAGAAAATTTGTGAGAAATTACTAACAAGAATCATTATAATGTACTGTATACCTCAGAAGCATAACATCAATGTTAATCAATAG